CGGACGGAACTCATGGGCTCAGCTTCGATGTGCAGAGTTCCCGAGTGCAAACGTTCGCGGGTAGAATCCGGGAATCGGAAGGAAAGTCGACACTGCCTGCTAATGGGCAGACTTCGCAGGCAGGAGGTCGACTGCCTCGGGTTGCAATGCTGTCGTCTGTAGCACTGCGGATGATTTGGGCGCAAGGATGCAGAACCAAAAAAGGAGGTTCTCCGCTTCGTGCGAATTTGATATGCGTGCAGCGCAGGGTGAGGGGCGACTTTTTCAACCCTTTCAGCCAGTACCATGCTGTCCTTGATTTGCTTTTGCTTCAGCCGCTTGGCATGGCCAAGACAGGCCCTAAAATGTCAGCAGTGCAAGCAAATCATATACAGAGACAACTGACACGAAGAGCCCTGGCGGAACAGCATGCGCGCGAATGGCCACGACGCTCGAGCAGCTCTGTTCACGGAGCGGGTGCTGGACCAGCTGTCTGCATGTAGTCTCTTGTCCGTCATATTATTGTTTGACTCTTTGCAGGCGTTGCTCTGAGATGTGGACCAGAAGACGAGCCGAGAGAGACGGAGTTCTGCTTGCAGAGTTTCAAGAGAGAGGCGGGACAGGCAGTTCTCTATCAGGAGAGACGATACTTCATGCTCTTGCAGGGACCATGGAGCGCAGTCGTCCAAGAGCAAGTCTCGCTTGTGACATGGGAAGCTTGATTTGTAGTGCGAACTCGTGATGTCGATACTTGGACAGTGTTTCTGTTCGCCGCCAGGTGATGCTTTGCAGCTTAGCAGCTAGCTCGCAGGCAGCGAGTGAAGAAGTGGCTTCTCAGTTGTCCAATGAGAGCGTGCTGGCTCGGAATTGAATGGGAGGTGCGAGGATGGATGGAGATGGTCTTCGTGGTCAGATTCGGACGAGCAGTGCCCGCCGGGGCCCGAGTAGCGAGCTAGGTTTGCTCTCCAACGGATGCCCTCGGAATGACGTTGCAGCAAGCGGTCAGCCTGCTTTCGGTGTGGCTGTCACGCACCCGCAGGCCTTGGAACGCAGCGCGACCTTGCGCGAGCCCAGGGCTCGGAGCCCTCATTAGCGTTTGCCTCGGCCACTGCTTTTTGCCGTGCGAATTGGCTGGCGGAAAATCATGCGCCAATCAACTCAACAAAACTGTAGCTTGTGTGGCTCCCGACTCCAGTGCTTAGAGCATCGCTCGTGAGCTCCTTTAGTTCCATAGGTTTTGGCCATGCCTTCTCGGGACCAAGCGCAGGTGGTCAAGATTCAGGGCTGGCGTGGGGACGTGCTCCAGCAAGCGGGCCTGTTGGAGCTTGCCCGGGAATGCGGTCAGGAGCCTGTCCAGATTGTCCAGCAGGCTGCCATAGGGGGCGGGGCAGCATTCTTTCAAGTAGTCAAGTAACGCGCTCTTGATTGGCGCGTGACCAGGTGCTTGATTCGTATCACCAGCTTGCAGCAGCAGATGGCAGCTCCGAGCTTATCGAGATCTTCAAGACGGTTGCCGATCAGCTGGGTGGCTCGCTGCTCCCGTAAGGATTTCGGATGATATCTGTTTCCGGATATATCTGCGGAATTGCATGCAATTTCGATCTGGCATCTTTGACAGAAGAGAGCTGAGGCGAGCTGGAAGACAGCGCGGAGGGCAACCAAACTTTGGAGGACCTTCACAATGTGCTGCGCTGGGACTTCTCCACCAAGGTGCAGCGACTCAAGGACAAGGCGGGAACCTGCAGCGAGCATCAGCGAGCCGTGCTGTTATGCTTTCTTGTTCACAGAACTGGAGACATCACCAAGTCGGCAGAATCGCTGCTAGTCCGCGCAGGTGGACGGCGGCGAGGTGAAGGGCCCTGTCCGGCGCTGGTGGCAGGACGTGTGGCATGCCAGTAGGCAATGTGTTGGTTGGGCCTATGTCCCAATCCTCAACCGCGAAGTCCAAGAACAGAGACGTAATCGACGTAATCCCTGGCGGCAGGATCAGTGCCGATTGGCGGAGAATGCAGAATGGCACCCCGATTCCGAGGCGCTCTTGCTGAGTTTTCCGTAGATTCGCTCGCCAACTTGCATCTCATGATTCGCATTTTCTGAGGCCCGCCTTGTGGAACGGCTCGCGCCCGACGCCCCCGAAAGCGAGGATGGCCTGGAAGTGGTCAGGCGACTTGCTCAGAAATTCAAAGACACCCCCGACGATGAAAAGGTGGCTTTCTTTCTGAGCAACTTCAAAAACGAACTCTTCGAATTCATGCGGAGTCGGGCAGAGGCTATCCTTGGCGCAGAGAGCTGCGACGAGAAGGCCGAGAAGGAGAAGGAGCTGGAGAGCTTGTTCGAAGGCGAAGATCTCTGGTACGAGGTTTTGCTAGAGACTGCCACGATCGTCGCTCGTTGTCATGCTCAACCATCGGGCGAGGCAAGGGCATCCCTGTTTGGCCTTGATTGGACCGAAGCACCTGTCGAGAGCATCAAGGCAAAGCGGGCCCAGCTGCTAAAGTCGTTTCATACAGACAAGACAGAAGTTCTGGCGCTGCATGTTCACAGCAGGCACTATGAGGGGGATAACAGGTTTAACATGGAGGAACGTGTCCGTGAAGACATGGAGAAGTTCAATGCCGCGACCGGCTGCGTCAACGAGGCTGGAAGGGCCATTGAGCAGGAGCGAGCTTTGCTGAAGGACCTGCAAAGCCGCGTGCAAGATCTGGAACGGAGGGCCAAATTGTGGGAAGGCCGAGCTAAGCATCATGCGCAGCAGGCTAAGCAGGACCCATCCAGCTTGCACTGGGCTTGCAAGCGAGAAGCTGCCAAATCCGCCCGTGAGATTTGGGATGAGCTCAGGCGCCTTCTCGACGGAAGTGAGGTCGAGGAGACACTGCAGGTGAGGCGTATCCGGGTACGACTCTCCATTGCCGAGGCTTGCATACTGGAGGGCCTGCCGGGCAACGTGGCGCAGCTCTACGTGATTGGTGCCAAGCGCTTGTGGCATCGAACGTGGCCGCTGGACCAGCACAAGCAGCGCGAACACAATGCTCTGCTCAAGACGATTCTCCGAGTCGAGGCGCACGTGCATGAGCCAGAGGCAAGCTCAAAAGGGGAGCATCCGGCAGACACGGAGCCTAGAGGCGGCACTAAACAAAGCGGTCCTTCAGATTCCCTGGCGCTGGCACTTCTCCCGACGGCATGCAGGGGCCAGCGCCTGCGCAGTGACCTGCAGGTTGTCAAGCAAGAAGACTTGGACAGCGTGTTGCAGTCGACCAAGACCTTTGACATGGATGCGTACCAACTGATGGTTCCTACTCTGGAAGTTGCCCGTTGTGATACGACCTCTCCCATGTGCCAGACTCTCGTGACGTTGAGGCGACGCACTGTCAGCACGGCAGCCGGCGTGGGATTCTCGGGTGCCGTGGTGGGGGTGGGGTCGATGCTGGGATGCGTTGCTACGGCAGGAGTCGGTGCAGTGCTCCTGGCAGTTGGCGGCGGCTTGTACTACTGGCAGCAGTGCCAGAGCACGGCACGTGGGAAGTTCTTGAGACAGGTGCACCATATGGTCAATGAAAGCCGGAATGTGCTTCTCATCGGCGGGGCAGAGGCCTTCCTCGAAACGCTGTGCATGCCCTTGCCAAACTCGGATGAGCTGCGGGAGGCAGCCGGGAAGCGATTGTTGAACTATCCCCACAGCTTGGAAGAACCTCTCGAAGACTTCAAGGGCAGTGTCAAGTTCCTCCTGCATTGGGGGGTTTGTCCAGTCTTCATCGGACAGCTGCTTCTGCAGGTAGCCGAGATCTTCGCCTCCAGGCGCATCAGGACGATGAAGGTCGATGGCGAGGTGCAGGCCCCGATGTACAATCGGCTGAAGATGCAGGCGGAGGACATCCTCCGGTATCTGGAGGTCAGCGTGGCTGAGGGCGGGGAGTTGTTCAAGAAGGCGAAAGAAATGGACATGGAGGCAAGCGAGCGGGAGTGCGCGGAGCGTGCCCTTTTCAGCGGCACGGCAACCTTTGAGCAAAACCAGGGGAGTAGCCTGGAAGAGTGTTTCGCGTGGTCGAGCTTCTCTGAATGGTATTTGCGAAGTGAGCTTCCTGCAGCTGTAAAGAGCAATGCAGCCGCAGTCGGGATGAGTGTGAAGAAAGCCACGCAGCACTTTCAGGACGGTACCTCCAGATTGGTTTCCGAACTGAAGGGCCTGGCGAGTCTTGCGAAGCTGTTTGCATGTCCGGAGGTCAGCCGAGTCGAGCTTGAGCTGTCGCAAAGCCTCTGGTCCACTGTGGGCCAAGTCTTCTCGTATTTTGTGAGCGAGACGCCTATCAAGAACGAGCAGCAGGTCCAGCTTGAGCAACTCCTCCAGATGACCAGGATCAACATGGCGATGCTTCTGCTGCTCAACCAGGATTCTATGCAGGAGGAAGATGGGAATGTTCTGAAGGCAGAGAAGATCCTGCAAAAGGTCTTGAAATCCACGCAGGCTTCAAGCACTTCCTCAGACCTTCAGGTTCGCGTCAAGGCCGTCCAGGACTTTTTCGAGGTCTTCACGGGGCGCCGCCTCAAGGCCATCGAGGACGGCGCATGCCCAGTGGAGACCTTCAGGCATGAGTTTTGGAAGTTCGCAGATGGCGGAGAAGGCATGGTCAGGATCGTTGGAGCATCTGCCATGTCACAGGCACCGAGGTCACCAGATGAGGAGATGAAGTCCATGGCTGTGGCTTTCCTCACTTCCATGTCGTGCAACGGAACCAGACCATGTCGAACTGAAGAAATCCGTGCGGAAGCACAGGGGCTCCTGTCTTGGATGATCAGAGACCAAAGCTGTGCTCGGGATGCCCTACCAGCCCTGGCGGCGCGTTATGGCATAGGGAAGGTGGTTGTGTGCAAGCCCCCCGCAGAGTCACAGACCGCCATGGGTGACCGAGCCGGGCAAAATGCAGAGATGGAAACAGTCTTCGAAGCTGGCGCCGACGCGACAGGCCGGGAGGTGTGCTTGGTGGACGATGGCCAAAAGTGGAGTGCAGTGCAGGTCTTCAAGGCCGGAGATATCGGAGATGTTCAGCTCGCAGCCCGAGCACTTGCCGGCGACCTTAAGGATCATCCGAGCAGCACTGCGGTCTCGAGCTTGAAGAGGGTCCTAGAAGAGCTTGAGAAAGCTCTCCGACAGCAAGGACGGGAGCAGGGCGATCGGGGGCTAGCTTTGGCAACGGAGCTGTTGAGAATCCACTTCTCTCCCGCTTTACCCAACGACTTCCGCAAGGCCGAGATCATGATGTCTTGTCTAGGCATTTTGTCGGAGGAAGGGATGCACAAGCTCATCACTGACGAAATCCTCGCCGACACGCAACGCTTCCTGTGGTTCCCGTCGATCTTCTCAAAGATCTATTTGACCAAGGCGCATTCCTACTTGTGCCAAGGCAAGGCAAATCTCTCCGAGAAGTGCACGGATGTGGTGGCCAAGACTCCGGAGTATGTGAGCGGCAGTGAGAGCGAGAAGGAGTGGCTGAAGCGATTGCAGACGGGGCAAAGTCTGGCGCTGCAGCATTTCGAGTCTCCTGCTGCCTACCAGGCCGAGCAACCGGCCTGGGGAGAACGCAGCAGCATGGGTCGTCGATGCAAGTCCGGAAAGGCCTTGTACGTCTACGAAGAGGTGGCTGGGAGATCCAAGCCAGCAGAACCTTACGGCATTTTGAGTGTTAATGGGGCAGGCGTTCAGAGCATCATGCCCGCTGTGATCCTCAGCGAATTGGAGCTGCGTCTGCGCAAGCCGCTGCACCAGATCTTCCGACTGATGGCAGGTGCGTCGACGGGCGCGGTGATTGTGGGTGGCCTTGTGACGCCGACAGCCCAGGCGACAACTCCTCGCTACAGCGCCTGCGACATCGCCCAGTTGTTAGTGTTCCAGCACAAGCAGATCTTCAGCATGACCCCCACTGGAAGCCACCTTCCTCGCGAGGGTGTGGAGAAGATTTTAGGGTCCATGACTTACTACGACGACAACCCATCCAGTCCCATCTATCTGCGAGACACGCTCGGTAACATCATGGTTACTGCTTGCAGGAAGGACGGGAGCCTCTCTCAGTGGGTCAGTGAGGAAGCCAAGGCCTTTGAGAAGTACCAGTACCCAAGGAATCTCAGGCTGTTCGATGTGCTGAGGCCCAGAGGGGGATCTGGAGGGGGCTTTAACGCTTGTGCGGTGTTGGGAAAGTCATACGAGGTCATCAGGACAGGCGCAAAGGTTACTGGTGCGTGGCTGCTGTTTGCTATCGTAAAGTGTTCGGGCCAGGAGCTCTGCAGCCGGTACTTTTGCACTTCATGAGTTCGGTGGTCAGAAGTACTTCGATGCGAAGTTGAAGGCTTGCAACCCGGCAATGCAAGCGCTCAGATGGGCTGAGCAGGACAACAAATGCGAAAGAAGCACGCTGCTGCTTTCTCTGGGCTGCGGCGCGACTGAAGACGACTTGTCCAGCACCTGTGCCAGCGTCCACTCCGAGCTGCTTCAACACGACAAGCGTGGTGGCCGCTTCATGTACCATCGCTGCGACCCGAGGCTGCAGACGAAGCTGTCCTCGTCGTCGGGTATCATGACACCGGAGGGCATCGCAGCATTGCTGGACACCGCAGAGTCGTACTTGCAGGAAGCCTACTGCTCCGAGTCCAACTGGTTCAACAAGATGATCGAGAAGCTTTCCGTT